TTCACTTCGTGATACATGTAAATCATTTCCGATTTATATGTTCGTTCCCGTGATTTATAATTTACTATTTTACAATAGACTTTGAAATTTTTGTATAGATTTTATTATAGTATATTCCCTTTTTTAGAAAGATCATCACGTTCTATATAAACTTTTAAAACTAAAGTGTTTAAATAACGATTATTTTATGAAACAAGTTTCTATTTGAATAAAATGAATAAAACGAATAAAACTAATAAAACGAATTAAATAAATAAAACAAATAAAACAAATTAATTCAAATAAAATGAGTAAAATGAATAGGACAAACAGATCAAACAGTTTGAATAAATTAAATATTTTTAAATGATTAAATTGCACAATGAATACAATGAATACTTATCATACATACTTTTTTTTATTTACCAAGTGTGAGAGTAGCGATGTGAGTTTTGAGAAGTAGCAGCAAAAGCAATCTTAGGAGAATATTTACCATAATAAGAAAAAAATTTATAACAATATTATTACTTATTCATTATATTATTGTTTGTAAAATTGATCTGCATTTTTTCCGATAAAAAATCCTTACATATTAATATGATTTATCATGTGCGCTCTCAACTATGTTTGTGTTTACAGTTGGTGTTCGATATAGTGAATATGGCAAATTTCCCATTTCATTATATATAAATCCAGCTCGATATAGTGATTTTTTAATATAAACTCTCGATATAATTATATAGTTATATTTAAATATAAGTTTTTAAAAAAATATGTTGATCATTAGTTAATTTATAATAATATTAATTTTTTCTGGCACTTTTTTCAAAAAATCATTTGACTAAAAAATACTAAATAATTAATTGTATATTGAATACCGATGAAGAAATTATTAGTTATGTAAAACCAACTGCTGAATCTGAACCAGAAGATGAATTAGTAGCTGTTGAATACAGAAAATGCATTAAAATCTTGATACCATCCTTCCTTATATTCAAAATCCACCTGAAAACCTTACTTTTGAATTAAACCACATTAAATTGATAAAATCAGTTAAAAGTCATATATCCAAACATTCTCTTGCTTCTAAAAAAACAAAGCAAATTGGATTGTTGGTTTACTACTAAAATTAATGAATTTATAATTATTATTTTTTTTTTTTTGTAAATAAAAATTTGCCGATCTTTTTATATAATGAATCGCACTATAGTGGAATTTTTTGCCAAAACAAACTCTTCCTTGTATCGAGCACCAACTTTATGCTGATGTGTAACACCCCAACGTCGCGTGGATCTGCTGTGATGAGACTAGTAGCCATATATGAGACATCCATCAAAAATCTGGAACAAATTTATTAATAAAATCTGTTATGAAATATGCTGTGGTGAAGTCTGTTGCAACAAGATTTGACTGTAAATCCTATGTAGGAAAAAACTTCCTAATGTTGGAAAGAATTTGAAAGAGAAATGGACTTTAACACAGCTTGCTTGAGAGAATGTGCAAAATGATAATACAGGTCACTCACGTTATAAGGATACTTATGGAACAAGCAAAAAATGTCTGTACAACGAGATGTTCTTATAACGGGAGTTCATATAAAATCACATGAAAAATGATAAAGATACTTTGTTACAATTCACAAACCCATTCTTGAAAATAATATATACTTTGTCACCACCCAAACAATTTGCGAATTTGATTATTTTAATTTTAGTGTTAATAATAATAAACTTGATGTAAGTAATTTGTGTTTAATGTGTTTAGTATCAGTAATATTAAAACATTAAAAATTAGAATTTATTGTATCTAATTTTGTCATAGTGATTTGAGTGATTTGATTGGTTCTCTCGTTGTACTGACATGTCCTTATAACGGATGTCACTATATTAATATATAACGGGATGAATTTTATAATTATTATTATAAAAAAATTTTTTGTCCAATTATGTCCTTACTCTTATAACGGGATACATAATGAATGCCATTATAACGGGAGTAAATTCTAATCCCTGCTGGCTATCACTAATGTCTACGAATATGGTTCATATATCTCATTATATCATATATTACCTTGATATAAATAATCTTTGATTTCTATGGCGGATGTCGTTGATGTCATTTGCAATTAAATCATTTATTTATGAGCAGAAGGCTGTGTGAAAAAATGACAGTTGGTAGTAGTTGTGTATGCAATAGATACCACGTGGGCATGCGTGAAACAGCTTTGTCATGAACAATGAGTTTCGTACATCTTCAACTTGTTCCTTGTGTGGTGGGTAACGGTCCCGTCCACTTTACAGACAGATACTTTACCAACAAGCATCGTGTTAACAATTCGCCAAGGACTGTGTGAAGACCTGAATAACTCTATGTAGAAACTAAAAGTTTGGTTTTTTACAGGCAAGTTAAATCAACTGTTCATCGAGTACTGACCTTGCACTACAAATAATTAACTCTATTATCTTACTTCACATCAAAAACCAGTTATAAAAATACAATATAGATACATGTGTAATTTTTTTTTTTTTGTCTGACGAAATTGATAAAAATTACATATTCGGACTTCATGTTATTTTTTTAAATTGTTTTTAAATAAATAAATCTTTTCTCTCGCATTTAATACTTTTAAACATAATTTCTTGAATTTTTATGAAAAAAAAAAGAGCAATGATTTGGAATGTTAAAATTCACACCTTTATTATATAAAAAATGTTAAAAAGCCCAAATTGCCAAAATAGTTCGAGCTTTGAGAAACAGTTTGGGCTAGAAACTTTACTTGATTGTTGGTAAAGTGACCTAGACCCGTGGATAATTTGATGTGTATCAAAAATTCTGGTCTGTCACGATAGTAAATGTGAACTGTGACCTGATATATTCATAAGAGGAGATATCTCTTTGATCGTAATAAAGGATGTTCAGTTGCATTAGCAGAAGCTACAATAAGCCAAGGGACTGACTGAACCTTCCGTGACTTTTAAACAGTATAGTGTAATGAATCATGGACCTTGCTTATTATTATCAATTGTTTTAATACTCACCTCGCACAATAGGGCCGGAAACAGCAAAATAAATAGCAGGTTCTGTTTGAAACTATAATAGTAACAGAGCCAAATAATATAGATTAATGAATAAATAACGAATACAATGAATTATTGTCCATATTTACAATTAATTGTTATTAACAATTTGTTTTCTTATTCAAATGGAGTGATTCAGCTAATAAATATAGGAAATACTTGGCTACGCATTACTTTATTTCCTATTGCATTTTTAATATATTTCTTATTTCTCAGTGAATGAAAATAAATGGTCTTGATGTTCATCCACTATAGGTAAAAAAAGAAAAGACCAACAAATTTGAATTCCTGGTACACAAATTTAAGTAAAAGCGTACTTTAAGGAAATTAAGAGAAAGAATCAATGAATTGATCACCGATTTGCGCACCCATTTTGGGGTACAAAAATATGGAAAACAATAATCTGGGGATCATATAGAAAATTTCCTAATCGGGAATAAATTTTTTAAAATTCTAATTTTGAAAAAAAATAATTTATTTAAAATTTTAATTACTTCCTTTATTTGTAGAAAAATTAATGGTTACATTAGAAGAATTTGTAATTTTTCCATTCCCTTCTATTATTTTTGTTTCCTTCCATACCACCTTTACCTCAAAATTAACAATGTTAATGTAGGCAAATTGATTATTATCAAAATATCTAATTGACCAATCCTCATTCATCACCAAGTAAATTTTCTAACCTTTTGTTACCTTCTTCTCCAATGAATGAACTTAAGTACAACCTTCTAGCAGGGTAATATCTTTCCAAATCATTTTTAAAAACGCCTAAAAACATACCCTCACTACATGGAATAGTTAATGTCTTTATCCCTAAACTTTTGTGATGTAATGTCAATTTTTTTTTAATATTGTAAATTAAACTTTCTTTAAATTGTATCAAGTAATATTGAATAGGAGAAGGAATATCTGAAGGAGGATATCCACAATATCCAAAGTGTTTTTTCTTTTCATGTTGTACTAAACCATTTTTTGTTTTATATGATTTATTGCATATGATGCAATTTTCCAAGTTGCTGTTATCATCATTATTGTTGTTATGTTGTTTTCTTGATTAAAAAATTTAAAAAAATTAGCAAATTAAAAATTACAAAATAAAATTTCCTTCAACTAACTAGTTGCAATCCTAAGACCCTACTCACTATATGTATATATAAAAAAGTGATTGGTTTACTAATAAAAGTGATTGGTTTGTTATTAAAATAGGGATATTTACTCCAAAAATAACAAATTGAGGGGCAGGTTACACATATCAAGATACCCCAAAACAGTATAAAATTATGTAACCTTGCAGAAATCGGGTGGATATGTTGTGACAGTTAAAACCCCTAGTACTAGTAGTTTTATGTGGCGTTAAGTTCCCATATTCATATTCATTTTTCTATTATATAGCATTTTATTGCTATTTATAGTACTAATATTAAAGAAAATTTTTTTAATTTGAATTTTAATTTTAATTTTATCATTCATTCATTAGATTATTATTTTATCTGCATTATAAAAAGCTATTTACAAGAAAAAATAAAAATATTTTGCAAATATTATTCGACTATTATTATTGGCATAAACAATAGCATAATCAATATTATTCTCACTTTCAAATGAATATAACGAAATTTTTCTTATGTTGAAATTGAAGTATAATCTGATTTATCATAATATGTCGATTGAAATTTAGCTATGTGGAAAAATTTTAAAGAAATTAATTTATAATTCTTTTAATTTATCAACCAACCAATTAATAAAAAACTTACATATTCCAACAATGGTCCAACAAAGGTGATCATCAATTTCTTCAATAATGGGATTTGATTCATTATTATTTTTATTTGGGGATGATGCTGTTTTAAATGGTTCTTTTGTGAATTCTACATTTTGCATTTGAAATATACGTGATGATTGATATCTTAGAAAAGGTGATAATGAGCTTATTGTACAAGCATCGGATGATCGTGTTGCATCAACTTTTAATGGTCCGGAAGCACTTAAATAAAGTAGTCCATTAGAATGTCCAGTGCAATTATTATTACCAGTAATCTTGTTCTTATTATTACTATTATTAATACTATTACTATCATTTGGACCGGCATATCTTAATGCTACCTTTTGCATTTGACTAACAGGACCAATTGCATTTTGCGAAATACGACTTTTTTCGACTTTACAAATAATCAATTTATCAGATCTAAATCCTGTCTCGGGATGTGATAAAACTATTTCAGATCCATAAGTAATAAGTGGAGTTTTATTGTTGCTATTGTTATTATCATTATTATTAATTGTAGTGTTAGTGTTGTTGCGAGATTTACTCGTGGAATTATTGCTATTATTATTATTATAATTGATAAAATCATTGTTATAATTTTGATTTAAAAGAGTGATTTTAAATGGTGACCAAGAAGTATTTGTTGCGCATAATATTCCATTTTCAATTTCCAAATATTTAGTTCGTACAGTTTGTGAATTGATACGATTAAATAGCGAAACTTCAGATCCAGACAAAATACATAATGAAATATTTTTTGCTTTAGCTGATTTTTTTGATGGTTTTGATATGATAGTAACAGGTGATGAATCAATTGTTAGATGTGGAATCGAGGATTCTTTTTCAAATAATTTCAATTGAAGTGTAAAAGTTTTAGATTTAGCAGTTCCATTAACGTACAAATATTTGAATGTACCATTCATATCGTCGTCAAGTGACACTTTATGTTCTGATGAATTTATATCGCTTTCACATAATACTGCCATCGATAGTTCAAGTTTTTTTTGGTTAACATTAAAATTATTACTATTGTTGCTATAGTTTGATGATTGTTGTCTATTAAAGATTACTACCGGTGGCGGACACAAAAATCTTTTCTCACTACCATAAGATTTTTGTGCAACAGTCGTGTGATGACATGAAACTGTTATCGGTTGATACCGATAACTGGGTAATTTCATTGGCATTGATGTTGATGATGTCGTAATTGCTGTTGACGGCGATGACGATATTGGAATTGGTGACGTTGACGATAATGTTCGTGATGACGATGATGAAGTAGATGAATTATTAAGTCCGTTTTGTTGATTAATTTCCGCGTCCTCGTTTTCATTGATAACTGTTTTTGTTGATGGAAAATTGTTAATTGAAGAACAAAGGGTTTTTAAATATCTTGTCTTTTCGAGATCATTATCATCATTATACAATTTAACATGTTTCCTTTTATTAAGGGATACTAAAGAAGATGATGACAAAGATGATGATAAAGATGACGACAAAGGTGATGATGATGATGATGAGAAAGAGGAGGAAGAAGAAGGCGATGATGATAATGATGAATTATTTGAATGATTTAACACACCCATATCTCCAATTGTTTGATTAACATTAGGAAGTGAAGGAGTAGATTTTAATAAAGTGTTGATATTTTGAGTTGATTGTTGTACGTGTGGAAGATGATGATGAATTGATTTAATATTTGGAAGTGGTAAAGAGATTGAGTGATTATTTTGATGATTATTATTATTATTATTATTATTATTATTATACTGAGGAGGTGAAGATGATGGTGCCATAGGAAATGATGACATATGTTTTGGTTGATCCGTGTCAATCAAGGAGGATATTGACATTGCATTACTAATGAATGAATTTTTACCGTTGTTTTCATTACTTGTACTATAATTATCATTGTCTTTGTTAATAATATCGTTGATGGATGTAGTTATAGGTTTAAAATTGTAACTGAGTTGACGAATTTGACTAGTAAAATCTTTTTCTTGACGAATAGAGAATTTCTGAAATGATGGTTCGTTATCAGTTAAAGTAGCATTATTAGAATTATTTGTTGTGGCTTTGTTTGTTGAATTATTATTGATAGCAGTAGTTGAATATTTTTGAAAGTTTGAGAGGGTGGTAGCAGTCGAAGAAGATGGCGATGGTTGAGAATTTGTCACAAGTTCAATAGCGTTTAAAATAACCTCCATAATTATTAATTTTGTTCACCGTAAATTTTAGGAAAAAGAAGAAAATTAGTTGTGAAAATTAGTTTTTCTCACAAATGAGTCTGTAACACCAAAATAAAAATTTTTTTTCGCGTCTATCTATATATTTGTTTAATATATATTGATTAATTTTCTTTATTTTTATAGAAGTATTTACGATGTTTAAATATATAAATGATTTCCTATATATATATATCATGTGAGAAAATGTTAACGCTAATTATTAATTACATACAAGAGTGAGGGATCAAAAAAATTTTTTTGGTTTCCTAATTTGCTGTAAAAAAATTTTTTTTTGAAAAATAAAAAACAATAAACAAAAAAATTTTTTTTAACTGATAAGAAAACAACATGAAGCAACCTTTTTTTTCTCACAATCTCTCACAATATCTCTCACAACATCTTTCACTTTATTAACTCGCAATGTAGGCGTAGTTGTTACACATCTACAATTTAAAATTCAGTTATTATTATAAATATAAATAAATATATATGCACACTCTCCCACGAAACGTTTTAAGCTATTTTCATCGTAACACAAAAGCAAATTAATTAATATGATGGATGATATAAATGATAAAAAAGATAATCAATAAATAAAAAATTTTTTTTTACTTTCTTTTTTAATTAATTATCTTATGATCTTATCTCCCAAAAAATAGTTCTCAGACAATTAATAATAATAATAATAAATAATAACAATATAATAAATATAGATGATTCTTATCAGTCACCATAATAAAATCTTGTTATAATTTTAAAAATTTTTTTTTCATGTTTATTATGCATATTATTAATATTAACTTACCTAAAATTTACAATTCACAAGAAAAAAAATTTTTTTCACTAACAAATTTCCCACGGATCTATTACAAATATTTTTAATAAATAAATAAAGTAAACGTGACGTTGTAAAATGTCGATTAATTAGTTGATTGGTTAATTCGACAACCTTCTTATGATTATTAGATCGAGGAAATTGATTGGATGTTGGCTACGTTTGTTTATGTGAATTACTTTTTTGTCTCAAGACGTCACACACCATTTTTTTGGAAAATTATGAAAAACGTGTATATAGAATAACTTTAGTGTGACTTTGCCATACCTAGTAATAGATCTCATGCTTTAACCATATTAAAAAAACGTGTTTGATCACCTTTCTAATATGAGGTCCATATTATCTTTCTTAAATGGCTGAATCTCAAGTCAAAACCCCTAATTTTTGAAATGATCTCTCCATTCAAGGCAATATAATAGTGATTTTTTTTTTAGATTATATATAGCCAATCCCGCTGATTTTCTTATCCGTCGTACCAAAAAAAATTTCCGCACAAGTTTTTAAATTAGTCGGGTGTGATCAGGCGATCTTTTTTTTTTCTTAACAATGGAGTATTGATTGATTGAAATAGTTTACAAGTCTAATGGACTGACCCTCGCTAATTTGTATTACTGTGTAACTTTGGGTTTAACCAAACCCGCACTTACAGCAACTATTACTATCACCACAAAGGAGATTCCGATAAAATTTTAGAATGTCCGATAAATGTCCGATAAATTGGTTTTACCTTTCTAAAATAGGCTACTTTACATTTCGCACCCTGATCTCCAATATCAGATGCAATTGTGAATTTTAAGATTTTCACATGTTTTAAATTTAAATTTTTCATAAAATTATCAATATGAGAGCATTTGTTCAACCAGCTTTACAATCAAACACATTTATTAAATCACCAGAACCTTTACAAATCACAGTCTGGATAATATCCGAAGGTATATACACTTCACCAAATCCATTAAAAGTTAGACTATGGACCAATATCAAAAATTCATTTGAATCAATTGGATGGCTAGAGCTTGAATTTAAAGAGATTTTGACAATTAGTGATAATGAAGAAGATTTTATGCCAATAATTGGATGTCATCAGGATGAGGGTTATCGAATATTTCAATGTACTATTGATACTAAAAATGTTCAGGAAGGATGGTATGAATTTACTGTAAAAGTTCAGGCATTAGTTGATTATCATGATCATTATTGGGTTTGGCTGAGCGAAAAAGAAAATCAAAATGCCTTAATTTACGTTAATAACAACAACAACAACAGCGATAATAATGAGGAAAAAAGTCAAGGAAATGATGATAGTGGAATTAAGAATATTTTCATCAAAGATTTTGATAAAGATAAGGATCAAGACATTAGATATTTTAATAGATATAATAAAAGAAATATTGAATGTTGGATTATAAAAAAATTAGTTAAATTTAATAATGAAAATGGTGGCAATGAAAAATTAATCAATCTTGGTAAAATTAATAATTTTTTAAGATATTTTGGGCTTGAAAGACTTGGGTATGTATTATTTATTTATTTCCCTTAAATGCATCTATAATATAGCATTCGAAAATAATCAACGCCACAATATATATCAATAGGGTTCATTGGCTTGTACCAACAATTGGTTTAAAGAAATTAGATAAAATCAAATCTTCAAATAATTTACTTTATTTGATAGTTCAACAATCTACGGGAAATTACTTGGTATTTATTCCAATCACAACTGATGATTATACAACTAGTTTTACATCAGATGATCAAGGTAATTTAACTTTAAGAGTTTTGAGCACAACAACAACAAGTGATCAACAAGATTCGTTGGATGTTAGTTTTGCTATTGGACTTGGTCCAGATAATCCTTATGATATTTCTCAAATTTGTATGAACATTATTAAAGAAGAGTTGCCTACATTAAGCGGCATAGATAAAAAAGATTGGGTCATTGTTGATGATAAAGATGACGATGACGAAATTGATTATAATGGTGATGATGATTATAATTGTGATGATGATTATAATGGTGATGATGATTATAATTATGATGGTGATAATGATAGTGATAACAATAATGATGATGACGATAATGATGATAGTGATAATGAATATTATGATACTTTAGGATATTGTACTTGGAATGCGTATGTAGGAAAATTACCATTACAACTATATGAAATAATTATTGAATCCTTTTTAGCAAACTTATTTATTTTCCCTCTTCTAATATAATATTATAGATTTTATGAAAGAGTATCACATCAAGATGTTTTGAGAGTTTTGGAATCATTGAATTCTAATGGAATCAAAATTGGATATTTATTATTAGATGATGGATGGCAACAAACAAATAATGAAAAACAATTAAAAGATATTGAGGCGGATCAGTATAAATTTCCTCAAGGATTAAAGGGTTTTATTGATGAAGCTAAAAGAAAGTTCCCATACTTAAAATATTTTGGTGCTTGGTATGTAGGAAAAAAATAATAAAAATAAAAAAACCATGATAATTATGATGATAGTAATAATATTGCATATCGTATATTTTGTCATAGGCACACATTATGGGGATATTGGGACGGAATAGATCCGAATTCAAGGATTTCGTTAAATTATAAAACAAAATTAATCAATCTAGAAGATCATGATCGCAAAATCAATCTAATAAAGCCTAATTATATCAATCAATTTTATAATGACTTTTATAACTATCTTCATGAACAAGGCATAAATATTGTAAAGGTTGATTCACAATCAAGTTTTGATTTATTACTATCATCAACAACAACTACTTCAAAAAATTATGAATATTATAATTGGTGGAAAGATTATCAATCATCATTAAGATTAAATACTTGTAAATACTTCAATAATAGATTGATTTATTGTATGGCAAACAGTCCTAATATTTTCTATTATAATGAAATATTTAATATTAAAGAAAAAAATCATCTTGCAAAAATTTTATTTAGGTAAATAAAATTTTAACGGGGAGTTTTTTTTTTTATTATAAGTGCTTTTTTTTGTTTTTTAAAAAAAAAACTTTTTTTTTTATAGAAATAGTAATGATTATTGTCCTCATAATGAAGATTCTGATTCTTGGCATATATATACAAATACAATGAATAACATTTGGACAAGTCTGTTTGATTGGATTCCAGATTGGTAAATTATGTTGTTGTTATTTCATTATAAAATAATTATTATTATACAAGAAATAATGATTTTTTTTTTTAGGGATATGTTTCAATCTGCTAGTGTATTAGGCTCGTATCATGCAGCAGCTAGGTCGATTTCAAATTGCCCAATCTATATTACAGATTATCAAAATTCTCATGATATCTCTATTTTAAAAAAATGTATTATCAAATCACCTTCCTTATCAATACGACCATCGCCATCTTCATTTTCTTCTTCTACTACTTCAGTAACAGAATCAAGAAATTTACCAGATAAAATACTTAGATCAAAATTACCAGCCTTACCATCACTTGTCAATTTATTCGTAAATCCAAAAGAAATTAATAGATTATTAAGAATCATAAACTTTAATGGCAATAATATTGGTGTTGTAGGATTTTGGAATTGTAGAGATGTTCGAGTGTTGGATACATTTTGTTTAAATGAAATATTCACCATTAAGAATAACTTTCGTAATAATAGTGATTATAATAACGTCAAGTGTTGTAATAATATTAATTGTAATGGTTATAATTGTTGTAATTGTTTAGAATATGCTTTATATTCTCATAACAATAACCATTCAATTAAATCATCATCACCAATTAGACTGTTAGACAATTCAAAATTTAATAAACAAATACCAATCATACTAAATCCAAAATCTTTTGACATTTTAACAATTTCACCAATCAAAAAAATAAAGTTACCAATAACATCATCATCACAATTGACGGTCAGAATGACATCATTTGGTTTAATTGACAAATATAATGGATCAAAAGCGTTAATTAAATTAGAAAATTCGTGCTTTATATCATCAAATTTGGAAAGTAATCCGCTTTTGCCAAATTATAATTTCAAATACAAGAATAATGACGTCAGAGTGATTTATAATTGTGAGTTGATGTTTGGAATCGGGATTTGTGGAATTTATTTAAATATTATTGAAGAAGAAATTGGAACCGGCGTGGGTAGAAGTGGGAAGAAAGAAATCGGTGCAAAGATGATTAAAGCACATATTGGAAATCAATTAATTAAAAGTGAAAATATAAATTATGATTTTGAACAAAATTTGATTTTAGTTAATATTTCAAATGATGAATTAAATAAATTTTTAACTAATATTTACGGTAATAATTATGAGGACAGTGAAGGTGATGATGATGTCAAGGCAAAAAGTTGGAATAGTAACAATATAAAGAAAGATTTTATTGAACTTTTTATTGAAGTGTTAATTCAAGAATAATATTATAAACATATAAATATAAATATAAATATAGCAACAAGTATATATATTTCTGAACTTTATTAATTCGAGATAGTATTATAAATGGCAATAAATATATAAATAAATAAATAGTGATTATTTCACAATCTACTCTTTAATCCTACATGAATGTCGCTAACCAATTCACCTAAACAAATCAACATTGTTAATATATCCATTCAATTTTACTAATTTTCATAAAATAAAAATAATTAATTACCTTTATTATCTGTTATATTGTAGCTTTCCCAATTATTGGCAATAGGAGCAAACAATATTCTTTCATCAGCGCCTAACGAATTAACAATATCAAGACTGTATGGCGACAATACCTTAATACTAGCAGTGATCAATTCATCAAGCAATTTTGCTTTTTCAATACTAATTAATTCACTCGTTAAATACCAAGACATATTCGCAGCTAACAAATTCAATCCAAACAAAGTGGTTATATTTTTTAATAGGATTTTAGTACCATTAGTTTGATGTAATCTTTTATCGTCAATCGCCAATAATGCTTGTTCCATTGCAATTCTATGACCGTGTGCTTTTGCAACTGATTGTACAAGATCTGATTGATTTAACATCCATACTTCGAAAATTGAACTGCCAGTTGATAAACCTTTGGCCATATTGTCATCAAGCTATAATTAAACAAATGAATATTTTGGATTTGGAAAAAAAGATTATAATATCAAAAGATGAATGATTTTGCTTTCAACAAAAAAAAATATAATAATGCTATCTGGTAATTAATTATGCCTCCCAACCCACACCAAAGATCAGTAGATATATATTTACTTGTTTTACTAAAATTTGTTCTCTTAATCTAAGTAATTTCAATTGATTTTCCAAATTATTTAAATCCCATGATTTAGAATTTTTAAAATCTGACACAACAGGCAACTTATATTTTCCTGAATTGACATCTGCTAATAATTCTTTGGCAACTAAAAAATAAATCAAAGAAAATAAATAAATAAAAAATAATGTTATACAAACAAACTCTAAATTATAATTATAAATACCTTTTTGCATCAATACGCTATTATCACCTTCAGCGGTCATACCAGCATGAGAAAAGCCAATATAATTACCAAATCTATTGATACCCATAAATCCTTGACCCCCACATCTTTCTCTACAAATACTAGCAACTCTTTCACTATTCCAAGTAATCAATGGCTTTACCACACAACATAATCTTACAATTTCCGATGATTCATTATTGTTGCTCAATCGGTAACTTAACGGTGATGTAGAAAATATTGACCATCTTTGTTTACAATAATTTAGAAAAATGTTCAAGACTATTGTGTGTGCTAGCAGTGGGATTAATGCATTTTGTTGTAATTGATATTTCAAAATCGGTGTGTCGCTATAAAAATCAATATCATGGAGAGAAAATGAGAGAAGTTTGTCAAATGTGAATGAATGAATAATATAAATTTTACAACAAACATAAAATATAATTTATTACCTTTTACCAGTTGGACCAACTGCTAATCTTGAATTAGCATAACGAAATGCAATCGCCAGACAAACTAATATAAATAAAAATGTGTGAGTTATATATATATAAGTATACGAATCAATTAAAAACTTTTATTTAATACTTGCTTACCTTTAGATCCACCTGTATGTAATGAAGCAATCGCTAATCTACCAGAAAGTAATTGATCTGCTACTTTTAAAAACCGTCTTTAAGACAGTAATTAAAAAAAAAAATAAAATTAATTTATTATTATAATTAATTTTTTTTTTAATATCCTAAAGGAAAAAGAACTAACCCTCTTCTATTAGGAATTAAACTTGTAAATTTATTATTTTCATCGATATTTGAAAATCTATTCAATAAATTATCTACTGGTACTCTTACCTATATATATGATTTTATATTAATTGATATATAAATAATGGACACATTGTAATTACTAGAGTTAAAAAAATATATAACATACATACATTTTTAAACCACAATTTACCATTATCAACACCATTGCATTCAAATTTAACACCCATGTCTTCAATAACAACTCCTTTACAAGGCTTCATACTATTATTATGGTTAAATGTAAAATTGTATTTATAATTATGTTTAGTCACCGTTATAGTCAAATTAATTGAAAGAATACATACTTGTCATCACGAAGTCTTACAAGTATTGCATGAATACCTTCATTTTGACCACGAATAAAAGTTTGTGCAAATACAATTACCCATTTAGCATGAACAGCAGACTATAACAAAAAAAAACATTATTATTGATGTCATTATATATTATCAAATATTATTTAATTATCAAATCCTTTCTCTCTCTTGCGCGCGCACCCCACCCCATCACATACATTTGTAATCCAATATTTTTGTGCCAAAGTGGACGGAGTATTGATGATAAATTCACGGCTACTTTCATCAAAAATCGCCGTGGTTTGCATCTCGACCGCATTGTTTCCGAATCCCAATTCTGTCAATCCAAAACATCCTATATCGTTTAAATTATCAATTCCTGGTAGCAAATGTCTATGCCGTTCTGTTCCTAATTTTATAACGCTTCCACCAAATAAATTCCATTGAACTGTCATCTATAATTGAATTGGTATGATTTAATTGAGATTATTGAACAAACTGTTGGATTGATTGGCAGCTCAAATTTTAATCATTTTTTTTATTTACCTTTGTGCCCATTGATCCATCAACCATTCCTGCAATTTCATGTGCTATTTAATCGTAAACAAATAAATATAATAATAAGTAAATAAAAAATTACAAAAATATTGTTACTATTCTTTTTCTCCTTCGAATATTATTACCCGCAAAGATATTCAATGGATTTTTTTCAAAGTCAAGAACAGAAATGAATTTTTGATCAGCCAATTTTTTTAATCTTTGTAAAGCCAATTCTCTTTCAAATTCCAAAGAAACATTGTATCTTGGTATATAAATTGGATCAGAGGCCATAAAATTTATCATCGCTTTACGATTTTCATGATTATCGTTTGCTAATAAATGTCCCAATGCTAAAAAATCTTGACGAGTAAACGACATGTTTTTTCCTGAGATAATAATTAAAAAAAAAACCTAATATGTACATGGATCTTTTATTTATATTAGCTACAGGAAACTATTCGGCTTACCAAAAATGGGATTCGCTTCTCGGGGGTGAAAGTTTTTGGCCGAGTTAGGTGAAATTAATATATGAGCATGGATATTTACATTTGTGTTACAAAAATATTGAACGTTTATTGATTAATTATTTTTTAATAATAACAAAACATCATTTTCACAACATGTTTCGTTTCTATTGAAAAGCCACAACTAGAATGTTTTCATTAATACAATTAATGTTAGTAATCTGTATTCTTTTTTAATGAATGTTAGTAATCTGTATTCTTTTTTATTGAATGCTGGTAATCTGTATTCTTTTTAATGAATGTTAGTAATCTGTATTCTTTTTTAATGAATGTTAGTAATCTGTATTCTGTTTTATTGAATACTAGTAATCTGTATTCTTTTTAATGAATGTTAGTAATCTGTATTCTTTTTTAATGAATGTTAGTAATCTGTATTCTTTTTTATTGAATGCTAGTAATCTGTATTCTTTTAATGAATGAGTGAAATTAATAAAAAAAGGTCATTATGTTTGTTTCTTAACCTATTTTTTTAAATATAAGTTAGTAATAATAATAATGATAGTCCAATGACTTTAAAATAATCTAGTGCTTGAGCAATAATAGCCATTATTTTCAAGATGTAGTAGTTGGTGTTATTGGCTTATTGTATATTTTCAAAGACACCTACCTACCTTTTCAAAGATTGCTTCTTTACTGATCTAAAAAAAAAACCACGAATAGAGAATACTTTTCCATTATCAGAAGGCTGCCATTAATAATAAGTAAATGGTCCATAGTGTAATTCGCTTACTAAAGAGCCTTTATTTAAAAGAGCAACAGGAATATAGTAACAGGTTATTAGTTGATAGTGGTTCTCCTGAGATTTGAGATTTACATTTTACATTTAAATTTTCTATTAAAAATTGGAATTTTTCTCCCGATCATCAATTAATATTTGTATCTGATTATTGAAGGATTTGTTATTTGAATCTTTTTTACCTGAAAATAAAGTGAACTGGTGATGTTTTTATAATGTTCCAATACAATGTGAGATTATTTACCTTGTTTCAATGTCAGGATCAAAGATCAATCAGATTTCTCCAAAAGGAAATTTTTCGATGGATTTTATCCGAAAGGAAAATTTTTTCTTATCCATCCCTCCAAAAATCAAAAAAAAATTGTACATATTGTTTGTTTACCGATTGACAATGTAGAAAAAAGTCTTTGATTAATTGAAAGATAACCAACAATTAATTAATATTTACAAGCTTAAAAATGTATTCAATCTCAAGTTCCATGTTCAAAAATGGACTTATTGACTTTAATACAATTGCATTTTCTCTTCTATACAAGTCTTCTAAATCAACTCAACCATATAGTATTCGAAAATTTTTTTTCATTTTTGAAGATTGTTTGTCGCTAAAAATTTCATGGAGCATTTTCATTTTCATTTCCGAAAACTTCATATTTAATGTTAAGATCTTTACACATGTATTCCACCACCTGACTCCATTCATTTCCTAAATCGGATTTACTCCATTCTACGACATCTCCTTGTGCATTGACATTATCTATTCTTTCAGGCATCCATTTGTATAATGTCTGCATTTCCCCTGCCACAAAATTTACATCAATAGGAATAGTTTGATTTTGACGATGCTTCCAAAATTTCTGAAAAGTTTGGGATTCTTTTCAAGATATTTCTTCCACCTTTCTTTTCGGTTTCCACGAATATTCATCATCCTTTCTTCCCAACGTTCTAGGAATCAGTTACAAATCCAAAAAAACGAATAAGCAAATAAAATGTCAATAGTAGAAGTAAACAATTTTTTACTAACCCAAAACACCTCTAACACGCACAGATCCTTTTATTCTCAAATAGTCCGACCCTGAAGAAATAAGATTCGAGATTAATTGTTAAAAAACAACGTTAAGCAATTCCAAGCAAAACTCATCATACGCACTCTAAATATCTCTAAATCTTTTGTAAGTACAATTATTTCTTTTTCCTTTTCTTTTGTAATTGTTTCTTTTTCCTTTTCAATTATTTCTTTTCTCATAATTTCACGTTCCAGGTAACGAAACTTCTTAAACAATACCATCTGTTCGGGAGCTGTGAGTGATTTAAAAGCATTATTAATATCCTCCTCATCTTCAGGTATATTATTTCGATATATAAACGTTTGCTTAATACTGAGAAAAAGCTTTTGTTTGCCATAGAGAGAAGGGATTTGTTAGCTACGGGGAAAAAAGTTTTTTCGATGTAGGGCGAAGGAGGTTCATGGAGTTAAGATTTAAAATTTGTGTTGGGTATTAGAGAAATACGTTTTTGACGAAAACATTAAAAGCCGTAATGAGCAAAAAAATGACATCATTTAGGCCAAGACAATAGTCTATTTTATTAAATTCAAAACATATAAATATGACAACTGTTCCCGCATTTTTTTCGTAACACCAACGTAGAGGAAGAACATTCCTCTCGGGCCATTTCGGCACAAGATAAAATTCAAGCTTACGAATGTGCACGCACATTCAAACTATGCTTCGCATTCGGTGCTAATTTTGATGCTTTGAACAAATATGTATATGATTGATGTCGTGTGATTTTATGACACCAGAATATCATCGCGCCATAATAATAATGCTAATCTGTATTTCACGAAACTCACTGTTACGTTTTCGTTTAAATTTGTTATTTATGAAAATTATAACATAAAATCATACTCTTTTTATACAAAACATTATTTAGAGTGTGTTGCAAAAAAAACCGGAAAATTACTGTTGTCAAAAAACTTTTTATAATATTACTAAAAATTCATCAACTTGACTCAAATAAATTTTCAAACAAAGTTTTGCTTTTTTAAATCATTTTAAATCATTTTCTAACTGGATCCGGCAATTAGCTGTTGAGTAATTTGTTTTTAAAATTCACAATATGGTTGAATTTTACTAGCTTTTTTGCAATTATGTTATTAGAATAAATGAAATACATTTACCTAATAAATATACCAGATTGCTAACACACCATTCTCAAATAACCATTTCAATATTAATAAGTTGTATGAAACGGGCGATGTGGCTTATGAGAGTTGATTGTTCGAAGAAACGGAATCACCTTTGGAATCACGTGTCATATCACAATTTATAGATTTCTTGGTAATAAATTATAAATAATGCGATAGAAGTTAAAATTTAAAGATGCGAGACGATTCATCAGAGAAAAGTGGAATCCAACTCTTGATTTATTTCTAGTTAATTTGCTTTGATAAAAAATTAAGATGTCAACCTGTAATTAAAATCAATAGTGAAAATATTTCGTATTAAAATATATTCAATAAAAGCTCTGCTCTTAACCTATCGAATAGAAATATTCTCTATATGAATTAATGCAGTGGTTGTTTCATGATGATTAATTTGATTTTTCCAGTTTTTTTTTGCAACACATTGTATATGAAAAAAAAATGGTTTCCATGATCTCATATAACTTCTAACTTAAAAATACCAAATTTTATAATATATATATTAATGAATTTTTGTTAAATTAGATATCATTCATTCTTTGTTAAGATTAATGATAAATCATAGATGTATCATAAACCTTTAATTTCCTACATGATTGAATTGAATAAAGCAAACACATAAGTTTAGGTTGTATTTATTTACAATATGTTTTCAGTACATTTTTTTTTTTTATTTTCATAAAAAAGTAACTATTACTTTTATTATTTTTGAGAGGATAATGTTTTCAAAAAGTCAATCATATTTTGAGAGAATAAAAATGGAACGGTTGATAAATCAAGATTAATAATTAAATCAGTTCTTTTTAATCGAATGTTCTTGTGATTTCTTTTTCAACTTTTGGAAATTAAAAATTAAAACAAATTGTACCTTGTATGTAATCAGTTTCAATGAGATTATGAACCTTATTATAATGTGCGTGAAGTGAATTATTGTTTGATTTTGCTATGGAATATAAGTCATTATTGCTTTTTGTATAGAACATGTCCAAATTAGTGGTTTTCAAGTTTTTTTTTATACTTACTATGGTTGATTTCTCCATTAAAACTTAATGCTGAAGAGAAAAACACAAATATTCCTGGGGAATTTGTAGCAACGATACCATCTGGGCTGCAAACCGAGTAGGAAGGAGAGCAATTGAAGGCTTATCTGTCTTTGGAAAATCAAAAAGTTTATCTTCTTCAGCAGTGATATTTGACTGATCAATTATACTATTAAATGGAAGAATTTTAAGATCAAATGTAAATCATGATGGAAGAGTGACGCCTTGTAACAAATTAGTTTTTTGAAGTATCTCGAAAATTGATTGATCATTCCAAATTTTCAGAACTGACATAATATAAAAATCCATTACGCTTCCTTTTGCAGCATTAGATAAAATTTCATTACTAAGAAGGATCTTCATATAACTTCCAAAGATTGGATAACCATTTTTCTCAAAGAAATGTATTCCAGCAATACAGATCCAAGGTTCATTTGTTACACAACAGTGATTCATTCTGATATGCTGGAACAAAATTTTCCTCACTTCTATCTTCATTACTTGATGTGCTTGATACAGATGTTGATGACTTATAATACATAGCTTGTGGACCTAACTCCATATGATTATCTTGTTCATCAAAATCATGATTTTCTGTAAGTTTATAGATTTCTTCATTATCTATAACTTCATAATCTACATCAACTACTTGACAAAATCCTTTCTTAAGAAATTGAATTTCATTTTTTGATGTGAAAAACATGATACAATCTAATAAAGTACAATGTAAGAAAATAATATATATATAATATCTCATTTTAATGATTGACATACCATCTTTTCTAATATATGTATCAAAGATACTGAGTAACCTGAACCAATATGAATATTTGACTGTAATGAATATGAAGAGAAAATTAAGGCATTAGAAGAAGAGAAAAAGGAGTTGGAAGAAGCATTAGAGGAGGAGGCATCCGAATGTCATTTAGAGGCTCTTGAAGTAGCTAAACAGTGGAGAATAAGACAAAGTAAAGAAAAAGATGTCAACTTAGAAAAAGCTTTGAGAAAAATAGAAGTTCTAGAAAATATTGTGGCATGACAGAAATATTTGGTAGACAAGCAGCTTCAAGAACTACCAGTTTTACCAAAGAAAGAAGACAAATTTAACTAACAAAGCAAAGAACAAAGTTAGCCAAGTAAAAGAAACAACTTGAGAAAAATTTGAAACCTATATCTTGCAAAAGAATAAATAGCATGAAATTAGAATACCAAGTTAATGAGCTG